TACTGATTCTGACTGTTGAACTCTTCTTATAACTTAGAATGAGACTTACATAACCTACATTGGTGTAGTTTTATATTGAACAAGTTATCAAGTTTTCTGAAGATCATTTCAATGTTGATAACTTGATTTTTTGTTTCCAATAATGCAATGTATTCGTGAAAGTAAATGTCCTGTTCGTATATATATATAACTGTTTTTTAACACACCATGCAAAACCGGCCAAATTCTGTAGGGTTTCCCTATAGTTGAAATGCATTTGAATGAGCCGAAATATTTGATATATATGCATACATGTTAGAACACATTATCTGACTTAATTATTTAGAACATATATAATCTGACTTAGTCATTCAGAACACATTAGCTGCCATATCGGAGGGCATTCATATCTCATTTTCTGACATAGTTATTCAAAACACAGACGGCATTCATATCTCATTTTCTGACATAGTTATTCAAAACACATTAGCTGCCATATCGGAGGGCATTCATATCTCATTTTCTGACATAGATATTCAAAACACAGACGGCATTCATATCTCATTTTCTGACATAGTTATTCAGAACACATTAGCTGCCATATCGGAGGGCATTCATATCTCATTTTCTGACATAGTTATTCAAAACACAGAGGGCATTCGTAACTCATTTTCTGACATAGTTATTCAGAACACATTAGCTACCATATCGGAGGGCATTCATATCACATTGTCTGACATAGTTATTCAAACACAGAGGGCATTCGTAACTCATTTTCTGACATAGTTATTCAGAACACATTATCTGCCATATCGGAGGGCATTCGTAACTCATTTTCTGACATAGTTATTCAGAACACATTAGCTACCATATCGGAGGGCATTCATAACTCTTTTTCTAACAAAGTTATATAGTTAGTCAGAACACACAATATATATTTTAATTTGGTACCCGACTGAAACCATAAAAAATAACCAAGTATATATCTGTTTTTGTTTTGTTGTTTTTTTTCATGTGTGTCAGTCTTATCCGTCTTCCCTAGAGACACGCTAATACATGTTAAATGATTAGATATAGAAAATGAATAATAGAAGAACGTCAAAGTAAATACAACATATTAATCTTCTTAAATGTTTATTTGGGAGTATAAAATCAGTTAGAATCTTAATTAACAAAACTGGTCGATATGGTAATATAGTAGAAAATATATTGTATGAATTGTAACATTGAAGACCTAAAATGTATAAGATATCATTTCATCGCAATATTACTGGTAAAACATTACATTTCTATAGCCCACATAGAGTAAGATCTATATAACTTATGATCTATTTATTAACTTTTCTTTAGTATGTACAAAAGGCATTTGTAATAAGACATAGTAAACAACTTTATAATTATAATTTTTATGGTCGATCCCTATAACATTATAAAGATTTGTGTACTATTGCTTAACCATGGAAATTGTCTGTAATAGAATATTATCATATGGTCAGATGTACATTATCTTTTGCAAATGATTAAAGATTTTAATGTTGTGTATGTTTACAATGAAAGTTCTTTTATTTCAAATCAAAAATAGAAAAGTTTCCAAATCAATTTCTTTGTTTGTATTTGTCATTAAGTATAATTGTTAATTGTATTATGTAATTTCAATTTATTTTTTATATCTATTTATTATTATAGTTTCGTCAATGTACACAATAATACACTTTAAACATCAATAGAATATACAAAATATAGTACATTGCTATTTTGTATTATAATTATAAGAGACTTATACATATGGTAAAATGGTAAAAAAAAAGGAATGAAAAAAAAATCAAAAATAAATAAATAGAAGTACATATTACTAAGGTACTTAATATTTAGTACATTAAGTCTTAAAAGACTAATAACCGGCATTGAATGGAGGTACACGTGTTGGTTGAGGTTATTTGTTGTGGCTATCTTTTAATTTTTTTTTTAAAGATACAAGTATACTATATATGCTCAAATTTGATATTTAAAAATACTGATAAATGCTACACAGTCTTTTTGTAGATATATAATAAACATGTTTTGACTTCACACGAAGTACAAAATGTAGATAAGTAATTCTCACTGTAAGTGAACACACTATGAATATATAGTGTCATTTAAAAAAAGTCTGACAGTTCTTTAAAGAAAGGACCACGTGGTTCACTTGACACGTGGTAAGGAACGCAGATTCCCATACATTGTTTGCATGTTTTTTATTTAAATAATACATATATTCGGTACAAATAATATAGATTTCAATAAATTTCTGCAATGAAAATATTTTACTCAAAGATGAGCATATTATATCTTAAAATCATATATGTAGAAAAGAAATAGCATGCTTATCAAAGCCGGTGGCCTTGTGTCTGCTAGCCCTCTCGACAGCTTCGTAGACTTCAGAGATCAATCGGTCAAACTCAGTTTCGCCAATGTCTCTCAATATATGTAGAAATATCACAATTTAACAGATTACAGTAACTATCCTTCCAGTGGTTTAAAACTGAATGTACATTTGTTTAACTATACCTTAAGTTCTGACAAATTGTATAGGTACGGTGAAATCTTTATACTAGCTGCACCATTAGTTCCAATAGATTTTCAAAAGGTATCTTGGTTCTTCTCCACAATACACATTATTTTCCAAATTGATCGGTCATAAATTGTTACAAAATCAAGTTCATAATAAATAAAAAAAAACATCACGTCACAATATTAATAAGCTGTATATCAATACGTATTGCACGGATACGGTGTTACCATAGGAACCAACTTTATTTGTCTCTTCATATTGAGACAGGGATAAAAAAAAATATGTCTTTCGAGTAATTCATAAATGTCATGCAACATTTGCAGCAAAATATGTCATTTTCAAAAAGACGTGGATGATGTCTGCAGGTATGTTTAAGATATGCGAATCTGAAAACGATAGCTGATTGGCTCGCATGTTGATCACACTGATTCTCGTAGTAGGCTTTCATGTTTCTAACAAGAAATTAATATTTTCAATTTAAGTTAGATTATTGCAAGATTAACCATTTTTGTTTCAATGTCGGTAAAAAAAGTATTTCATTTTTTTAATTGTAGATTATTGGAGATTTTCCCCCATTTTTTATATATAAATTACATTTTAGAAGAGTTTCATACTTCTCCATTGTTTGATAATACTATATACATGTATTGTAAGTTGTTTTTATTAGAAAAACAATACAGACAAACATATCGGGGTAATTCAAATGACAACCAAAAAACGGTTGGCAATAATCAACTTCATTATTTAGCTCACTGTAGCTACGGAGCTGCTTATACAGGAACATATATTTTTATGTCTTTTCTGAAGAATGACCTGGTTGATCTCAACAAAAGTTACAAATGCGATACCCCTAGGTTCTTGGTGCTTTACAAAGTTATATGAGCCGCGTCACGACAAAAACAACATAGTGCGTTTGCGACCAGCATGGATCCAGACCAGCCTGCGCATCCGCACAGTCTGATCAGGATCCATGCTGTTCGCTTACAAACACTATAACAAGTAGAGAAACTGATAGAGAATAGCATGGATCGTGGTCAGACTGCGCGGATGCGCAGGCTGGTCTGGATCCATGCTGGTCGCAAACCCATTATGTTGGTTTTGTCGTGACACGGCTCATATATTAAAAGTTGAAATTTGGCCCGCCCTGGAAGTCGTTTAGTTTATATAGACTTGTATAGGAAAATACATTTTGTGAAGCTACAATGCCAAGATCTTAGATATACAAATGTATTGCTTGTAGTATTGCCGGATGAATCTCTACAATAGAGATATAAACCATGTCCCCCTGGGGTAAAAATATCTCTCCGTGGGGTCAATTAGTTTATAAAGACTTGAATAGTAAAACTGTCTTAAAATCTTCTATGTTCAGAATTTAAATGCTTCGCATGTAAAATCGCCATATGGTCCTCTACAATAATTATATAATTCATGTCTGCGGGGACAAAATTAGCCCCACCCTGGGGGTAACTTAATGTATATGAAAATGCATTAAAGACTTCTGCTATGAAGCTGCAATGCCACGAGTGAAGAAATTTTTCATGCAACATTACCTTGTTGTCCCCTACAAAAGTAATATAAATCAAGCCTCATAAATTCAAAATCACCAACCTGGGGTCATTTAATGTATTTAGACTTGTAACCTTGCCTGGGTGACATCTACAAAATTTGAATAAGTAATGCCCCTGAGGTCAAAAATGGCAACGCCCTTGTCACTCTGGTATAAGAAAACGGTCTTAAAAGTTTTCTTCTCTGAAAGTATAATGCCAATAGTTCAGATATTCTGCATGTTGCATCACCTTGAGGTCCTCTACAAACAATACACAAGTACAAATAATAACCATGTGGTCAAAATTGTCTGGGGCCATATAGTTTATATAGACTTTGACAGTAAAACACATTTAATTAAGTCATCTTGACTGTGTGAAATTAAAATCAGTTAAAGTTTCGCTCGGCATATCCTTACTTATCACAATCATCACCGAGAATGAATAAATTATTCAATACAAGATATCATTACCATGGAAGAAAAGCAATAACATATAAGCTTACATCAGGCGTATTTTGTTTTTAATATGTATACATGTGTTACTCTCCGTATTGGGTACAGATTTGTCCAATCATCAGCACCATTGGCTAGCTTTATTTCATCCAATCGCCATCAGTCAATTGCAAGTTGTCATCGAGAACAATTTTATCCAATCACTTAGTCACTGGCATTCTGTTTGGAAATACATAAATAAATTACTGACATTTGTAGATATTATATCGAAAAGCCATGGAGAGCACAACTAATTCCAGCAAAACTCTTCCGATGCTGAACCAGAGTGTCGTAAATGGTTTCATTCTGAACCAGAGTGTCGTAAATGGTTTCATTCTGAACCAGAGTGTTGTAAATGGTTCCATTCTGAACCAGAGTGTCGTAAATGGTTTCATTCTGTTTGTGACAGGACTAGCGGTTTTGATCGTTTGTTCCTATATATGTGCAATGCACATATTAAGACGTTGTAAAAGAATACCAAAGCAAAGCTCGAAGTTATATTTTAGTTACCTCCTCAGTGATTTTGTTGGAACTGTTCAAATTATTATATCGACGTTGGTAATAACTGGCTTCGGTATGGAGACGGATCTTGCCTATTGTATACGTATTGTATCTTTCGGAGTTTTGCATAACATCTCATCGGCATCAATAACTGCAGTCATTTTAGAAAGAGTTTTCACTTTAAAGGCTTCTCTGAGAAATCAGCATAAATTGAAAAGAATGAACATTACTATTTTTGTTGTATCTTTCTGGGTATTTCATATACTGGAAGCGTTGGCCTTGATGCTGATAAGATTTCATAATATTTGTAACTTTGAATGGTCAAACTGTGATTTACACGAAGTTATCAAAACAACGAAATATGCATGCGGTTTGACGATGATCGTATATGACGTCATTTTGATATGTGCAAATATAAGTATTATCAGGATAGCAAGGCGTCAATCTGTGAAAATAGCATCACTAACGCCAAGCGCTTATGTAACCCGATCCAACGAGAGTGTGAGCAGCCGACAACTTGCTGTCTTGAAGATAATTATTAATCTTGTAGCCTCGAATATACTTCTGAAAGCGCCAATTATCATCGTCATGGTAACCAGCACAATTGAACCAGCTTTACGAGACATCCCTGTAATGAGGTCATTCCGAGCCCTTGGCTACTTGTTTATTCAAGTGAATTCATTTATCAACTTATTTCTTTACATATGGAAAATGAAAGAATGCAAGATGAATCTTTTTTTAATTTTGTCAAAATTCTCAAAAAAGTTTGAACAAAAAGCTATTAGGCTTCGTTTCGAGATATTTGACATTCCAGTCTATGAAAATCGTTTTATGCCAGCAATAACAGCGGCGTCAGATCAACTTTGAATAATATATATGTTTTTACGTTGACACAACGTTGAATTAATAATGGTTTTGAACGTTTGAATCAGCGTATGATAAACCCTGTTTGGACTAAAGTTCAGATCTACTTAAATAATTTCTTGCATGCAGATGATAGATCTGATTGTCGTCGTATTTGTTTCGCCTTCAATGTGATTCGGATCAAAGTGACCTCCTGTTGGTGCCCGTCAGGTCTTAATGTGTAGCGTTATTAAGGCTCGATTTTAATCACATTGTGTTTAAATGGACATATTACCAGTACATTGAACACTGAGCTGACTTGAAATAATTACACTTAGCGAGTGCAGCGACCGTTGAAAAACATTCATTTCCTTCACTTTTTCATGATGAATAATTTACACGACAAATATTATTAGTTATATACGATTACATGTTTACTTAATATAGAATTCTAAACGATTACTAAACAGCAGATTATAAAATATTTTATAGATATATATGCAGTCACATTAATGCCTTTTTAGAAATTTCGTAAACAGTTTTCTTTAGCTAAAATCTTTTTTATAAGATTTTTTATAAGATTAAGAAAAGAAAAGTCTCAACAGTACAAATTTGTGTTATCAGAAGTCATAATGTGAAAATTGTTTTTAAAACATTAAAATGTTTTTTGTTATTGAAAAATTATGTTAGGTTTATCGCCCGAAATGCAAAAGTTACAAGATTTGTTATGTAAATTTTAGAACAGGTATGAATATTTTAGACAGATGACATTATGATATTATAAAATAAAGCAGACGACAGTTGAGTTATATAATTAAAATATTTGTATAATTAAAAAAACATGTCCCGCACTGTGAATGCGAGCAAGATTGACTGGGTCCTGACGCGAGTAACGACGATTGTTCCACGGTGAAAGCGCCAGAATGTTTCTCTACGAAAAGATCCAAACACATATAATATTTTTATTTCACAACCTTGAGCATTCAGAGATACACATTATCTGACCGGAAATTCCAGAAAAATGCGCACATCAAGCGCAATCAGACTGTGAATTTTTTATTGTAAAAAGTAGTTCAAAGATATTTTGCTGTTTTGATACTTGCAAAAGTCGATTTTGTATGAGTGTATATGTAAAATGTCTTTTTTTTCTCTAATTTAGGGAGGATAACTGTGTTCAAATTGAATTTTATTAATTAAATTAAAGATGCGTTATTGCTTGTAGTATTTATGCAAGAAAATTGTAATTGTATATTTTATGTTTTATAGATTAGCTGTGTTTTTTTTTAATAAAGTAACACTTCTACTATAGTATTTTCTGTGCATGTTCCTAAACGAGAACAAAATGTGACAGTGTTGCTCACAGAGGGCGAGCATGTTTAGCACAGACGACAACTAAGCTATTTTACTTACATTTCAAGATGACCTAAATAATATCTATAAATAATTGAACACTTTTAATAGAGTTCTCAAGTTGTTTCTTGGACATGTTTTAATCATGTTAATGTGTTGAAAATTTTGAAAACTTAAGCTTTACTAAGGAAAATCATGTCAACATTCATAGAGTATACACTAAGTGTACTATAAGCCTTACATTTCTTGTAACATCGTTGATGCTTTCTCCTCCTCAAATTGTATACTTTTGTTGATACAGTGTGGACGGGAAAGTCGCACAAATAACCTTGCTTCGTAGACTTGTGAACATGCATATCAATTATCTTATTTCGTTTTATTTCCTAAACCAAATACCGAGCCCTTAAAGTGATAATATTCAAACTTTTTCAAAAGCCTTTCACTCTTGATGTTTTGTTTTAGTTTAGTTTCCTAAATAGAGCTTATAGAGAAAATTATATGTATTTATTTCTGATTCATTGCTCTTGTTATCTGTTTAAGCGCGCTTTTCATCGGGCTTCAGTTGAAAGAGCGTTATATTATACTCTTGATAGTCTTCTACGAGACTATCGTATTATCTTAAGAATATGAAGAAAATTTTGTCTTATTAAAAATCATTTATTCAAGTTGCTGACGGCTTAAACAGGATAATATAGCCTGACGGACAAATATATTATTCGCCTAGCGCCTTGGCCTATATTACTCTCATCCATTCTATATTCTCCCTTATATCAGATAAGCAATATGTTTAACTAATACTACTATACAACTTTGAAGCATTTACGTGTTTACAAATTATTTTTCTAACCACTGTTCATAATTAAGCCCATGTCGTATGTGGGGAAGAATCTGTTTTGTGATCTAACTGTCGATTCGTGATGGCATTCTGTAGTCTGGTATGTTGGCCTTTTTTCTTTTGGGCTTCCTTGTCTCAGGTTTAGGAATGTCAAATGTATGAGACATAGAAATTAATAATTTACCACTTATTTCAGCAAACGTCAATTCGTCTGCCTTCAGAGCAACATCTCGGGCAAATACTTTAAATGTTCTTCCACCCTGCTTATACGGAACTTTACAAGCCCTTCTTACTCAATCACGTAGGGAAGGCAATCCTTGTGGTGTTCATAGGCTCCGTGACATATTGCTGCTTGAAATCACGCCTTTGAAGGCCAGGCTCCTGAAATATGAAATGTTTTCGTTGATTTACGTCCTCATGAAAACTGTTTTCGTTGAGCAACACACATTTTTGCGAAATAAGACCTTTTTTAGTTCTTCTAGCGTAGAAATTAAATAAAACTGGTATATTGATAGTATTGTTACATATTTCAAACATCAAGGAACATTAACAATGAATTTCATCGTTGAATATGTTACTTATACTAAAACTAAAGTATCAAAAAGCATGACACGTGTTTATTTTGCATAATATGTCTGTTTAACTAACAATAAATAAGACAAACAAAACAATAATGATATATATTTACCATTAAAGCACTTTCAACACAAAAGTTTTTAGAACAATCCATAAAGAAATCAGGACACGGGCATCTGCTCAAGAAATGTAAACAAACTTTCGCGCAACCTTCACATGTTTTCGTTGTGGAACATTTTTCGTTACTTGCACGATCGTTACATGTTATACAATAACTTGCAATTTTTCGTTTTGGATACTTTTGGATAGCTTTGTTGACAACGATATCCACAAACTTTACGAAGGGCCTTTGTATCACTGAAAATATTCAATAATTGTTCCGCGACAATACATTTTATTCAGACATTTATGTAACCAACTGTTTGTGTAAAGATAAAGAAAAACAATTGATTTTAATAAATCTACACAAGGGGTTTACTGAAAACTTTTTTGTAATATTCTTTATAAACCTTTTCGTCTGAATATACACATGACAAAATCAGTCAGTACGTCCGTGCCGTCCGATCAATCATCGTCTATTTAAGAAAAGCTTTCCTATAATGACAGCCAGTGCATGTATTTGTCATCCCAATTTTTCTTCAAATGTTACAATTCATTTCAATTCCATATATCATTCACTTGACGTCTTTTCCTTCATGTCGATAGATAAAGTTCATGATAATGTGGGGAGACTTTTGAAAGAGACATAGTTAGAAACTGTTTATTTTATCAATGACATATTTATCCTCTTTTTTTCTTACATTATGTATAAAAGATTAAATGACAATTTAAAGATAGTATATGTACCATGGAATAAGTAATATCACATAAATATGAAATCACAATCATTGAGAAATATGATAGACAAAAACAATAATAATTGTGCAGTGTATACTTTTTATGTACGATCAAAGAATACACATAATAAGTTTTGGTGTATTATTTTTACTTCAATGTCCACACCCTTTTTTCAGAAATCATGTCTTATCTAAAGTCTAAAGAGATTTTCTTCATGGTCAGTCCTTGTGCATGATGGAACATACATTTGAAATTTTAAGGATGGCGCAAGAAGACTGACATTTCTGATGGTTTGTGGTGCATTGTGAAACAATAACTATTTGTCCTCCGATGTTATATGTTCTTCTCCTTGTCTACTCAATTTTTAAAATTATACTTTTAAAATGAAACTTTTGCATGCATGTTACCAGAATAATATTTGTCAAAAAGAATTATTGAGTGTTAGAAAAATTATGGGAGTAAAGAGATAGAAATAAAAGCAAAGGTGGTGTATGCTGCAACATGTCGAGTAAGTAAGTGATATAATTTAGAATTACCTGAAAACGAAGAAACAGTCCGCCATATTGTCAGTACTAGTTACAACATGAGTCCCTACAAATGAGTAATATAACTTAAAAATCATGACTTATTGAACCCAACAATGAGTAACATAACTTAGCCATCATTACAGACTTACTGTTACCACAAATGAGTAACATAACTTAGCCATCATTACAGACTTTATGTTACCACAAATGAGTAACTTAACTTAGCCACCATTACAGACTTACTGTTACCACAAATGAGTCACATAACTTAGCCATCATTACAGACTAACTGTAACCCCCAATGAGTAACATAACTTGGCCATTATGACAGACTTACTGTAACAACCAATGAGTAACATAACCTGGCTATCGTGACATACTTACTGTAACCACCAATGAGTAACATCACTTGGCCATCATGACAGACTTACGGTAACCACTAATGAGTAACATAACTCGTCATCATGACAGACACACTGTAACCACCAATGAGTAACATAACTTGCCATCATGACAGACTTACTGTAACCACCAATGAGTAACATAACTTGCCATCATGACAGACACACTGTAACCACCAATGAGTAACATAACTTGCCATCATGACAGACACACTGTAACCACCAATGAGTAACATAACCTTGCCATCATGACAGACTTACTGTAACCACCAATGAGTAATATTACTCGGCAATCATGACAGACACACTATAACCACCAATGTGTAAGATAACTTGCCGTCATGACAAACTTACTATAACCATCAATAAGTAACATAACTTGTCATCATGACAGACTTATTATGACGATCTATGAGAATGATAAATTGGCCATTATGACAGACACACTGTAACCACCAATGAGTAACATAACCTGGCCATCATGACAGACTTATTGTAACCACCAATGAGTAACATAACTTGCCATCATGACAGACTTACTATAACCACCAATGAGTAACATAAATTGCCATCATGACAGACTTACTATAACCACCAATGAGTAACATAACTTGCCATCATGACAGACTTACTGTAACCACCAAT